TCAGGGAGCCCACGACGGGCCAATGAAGAGGCCCCCAAGCTCCCCCCTAGGCAGCCCGAAAGAGCCCCAATATAGCCCCAGGAAGGTCACAAGATGGGGCCAAAACGATTCAAGAGAGGCCAAAGAAGGCCCCAATAGGGCCCCCAGAACGGCCCAAGAGGGCCCCCAGAGTGGCGCAAGACGCGCAGAGGGCCCCAAGACGGTCCAAGACGAGCGCAAGCCAGCCCCAGTACGGCCCCAAGAGCCCCCAAGAGGGCCCCGAGACAGCCCGAGAGGCCCTCAAATTGGGCCCGAAACGACCCCGAGAGATTTCCAAAAGGGCCCAGGGGCCCCCAAGACCGCATCGCAAGCGTGCATTTGAGAGGCTCCAAGACGACCCTAACACGGCACCGCCTCCTTCCTCATCCTTGCTCTGCCCTCCAGTTCTTGAGCCTGAGCCTCTGGCGGACTTATGCAGGGCTATGGCCTCCTGGCCGATCTTGCCCCCGCGACAAGGAGAGTTTGGCGCCAAACCCTTCATGATGATAGGGTGGATATGCTCTCAGTCGCATCCATTTCGCCACATTCAGCGGCTGTTCTGGGTGAGCGGTTCGATCCGGGCGAACAAATATTATATGGGCACGATGTTTCTATTAGTTCTTGATTTTCTGTTGTTGCTATGTTCTATTTGTCTCCCAACATCCGCCTGTAGGAGGACATGCCCGACCTAAATCTGGCCCCTGCCTTCCAGTGGGCCTCACGCACCTGGCTCTGCCGCAGCAGAGGGTGGCCGCCGCAGCCTGATCGCCGCGTGCGCTCTCCGGCCCGCTCCCCGTCCTCCCTTGTCCTCCTCCTACCTCCTCCTCCTCCTCCTCCTCCTCCTCCTCCTCCTCCTCCTCCTCCTCCTCCTCCTCCTCCTCCTCCTCCTCCTTCCTCGTCCTCCTTCCTCGTCCTCCTCCCCTCCTCCTCCTTCCTCTCCTCCCCTCCTCCTCCTCCTCCTCCTCCTCGTCCTCCTCCTCCTCCCTCCTCGTCCTCCTCCTCCTTCTCCTTCTCCTCACCCTCCTCGTCCTCCTCCTCCTCCTCCTCCTCCTCTTTCTCCTCGTTCCGCGGGCGACATTTGTGCACCGTACCGCGTTGGCGTCTCCCGAGGCGTTGTCGATCTTCGACCCGGGAAGGGTACGGTGCATACCCAGAGATCCAGCTCATTGAAAACATCAAGATGGAGGTGTTTCGCAGTTTTCGGCCTCCAGGGAACCTCGCCGGGCTTCGGGACAGTCAAAGAACGACTCAGGATGAAAAAATATTCCTGGGGAATGGATCGAGACCTCCAGGGTCGACGTTATGAAACAATCATGACGGCGAGGGTCCGGGAATGGTACGGTGCAAAGTTTATCGCTCCTTCGAGCAAAAAAAAACTATGCACCGTACGGCGGTGGAGCGAGGCCTAAAGGAAGTTCAAACATGGTTCGGTGCATAAGCGCCGTTCTCGTAGGAGGACGAGGAGGGAGGAGGAGGAGGAGGAGGAGGAGGAGGAGGAGGAGGAGGAGGAGGAGGAAGAGGAGGAGGAGGAGGAGGAGGAGGAGGACGAGGAGGACGAGGAAGGAGGACGAGGAAGGAGGAGGAGGAGAAGGAGGAGGAGGAGGAGGAGGAGGAGGCATCCCCACATCTGCCGCGGGGCGCTCCGCTGGCCGTCGCGCTCGGCCGCCTTGCCCTGCCTTGCGTCCCAGGAGATTGACAATGCAGTCGAACCCGCACAAGCCTTACACACTTGGGGGGCCGCCTGATCCCCCCAGCCTCCGAAATCTCTCAGTCGAAGCCTCGAGCAGCCGGCGTCCACGTGGTGCTGTCACGTCTGCCTCCTTCGGTCTTCTCAAACATGCATCATCTGGCCCTGGGGAGCAGCCCCACATGCTATATATAGACCTACATACACATATAGGTCTGCATGCCTACATGCATACCGACATACAGGCAGACAGGCAGGCAGACAGGCAGACCTGCATACATGCATGCATGCATGCATGCATACATGCATGCATACTTACATACACACCTGCGTGCATACAGACATACATGCATACACACATGCATGTGTACATGCATGCATGCATGCCTACATACATACATACATACATACATACATACATACATACATACATACATACATACATACCTGCATACATACATACATACATGCATGCATGCATGCATGCATACAAACATGCATATATACATGCATACATGCACACATACATACAAACATACATGCAAATATGCATGCATACATACATATATACATACACACCTACATACACACATACATACACATACATACATGACCACATTCATACGTACATGCATGCATACAAACATTCATATACATGCACACATGATTAGATATGCATGCATACACACGTACATACATACATACATGCATGTATGTCGAACTACATACATATATTCATACATGAATGCATACATGCATACATGCATGCACACAGGCATGTATACATACATATGTACAGTCATACCCATACATATCTGTAGATCTATCTATTTATATAAATATATATGTATATGATCCCGGGTTCCGGGCCCATGGTCCCCCGCCCCCCCCCAGATGAGATGGGATGGGTCCCAGAGTTCCACGGCCCTTCCCCTGATGGGATGGGGAAGGACAACGACAACAACGACGACGACGACGACGGCGGCGGCGGCGGCGACGGCGACGGCGACGGCGACGGTGACGGTGACGACGACGGCGACGACGACGGCGACGACGACGACTGCGGCGACGACGACGGCGACGACGACGACGATGACGGCGGCGGCGGCACCGACCTCTGGAGCCCTCCGACGACGACGGCGGCGGTGGTGATGACGATGACCTCTGGAGCTCTACTTGAGCACCACAGCACCACGCCACACACGCCACACCCACAGCACCACACCCGCCGACGGGGGGGGGACCATCGCGCGGGTGGTGGGGGGGGCCCGATGGCATCAGCATGGGGGGGGGCTGACCCTGGACCATTATGTTCGAGAGTTTGCCCCCCACCCCCCCTCCCCAATGCAATGCTAATGCCATCGGGCCCCTCACCCCCCCCCGCGCGATGGTCCCCCCCCCCTGTGGGCGTGGGCGTGGCGTGGTGGCCCCCCTGCCCTTCCCCCCCTGTGGGAGTGGTGTGGGGTCCCCCCTGTGGGTGTGCGGCGGTTAGGGGTCCGCCTCTGCCTGCGGAGAGCGGCGGCTACATGGGGAGAGGAAGCGGGAGGGGGAAGCAAGGTAGGGAAGAGAGGGCCAAAAAGGAGGAGGGAGGGATGGAGAGGCGGATGGGGGGAGGAGGAAAAGGAACATCGTCGTCGACGGTGTCTTCACCGTCGTCGCCTCCTTCTGGGTGTGGCGTTGTGTTCGGGTGCTTCAGGGAGCCGGAGCGGACGGTGTCTTCGTCGTCGTCGTCGTCGTCGCCGTCGTCGTCCTCCTCCTCCTCCTCCTCTTCCTCCTCCTCCTCTTCCTCCTCCTCCTCCTCCTCCTCCTCCTCCCCCCATCCCATCTGGGGGGGGGGCCGAGGACCCTGGGACCCATCCCATCTGGGGGGGGGCGCGTGGGCCCAGAGCCCGCTATCATATATACAAGTATATGCACATCAATCTCTGGCCGCTCAAGCCCTCTACACTGCAGCACCCTGAATACTAAGTTGGGGGAGCCGGGGGAACATCTTTTGCGCCGCAGGACCGCAGGAGGGTTCGAATCTCTCGTCCGTGCACGGCCGGTCCATCCCATCCCCCGCCGCCTCCCTTTTGTCGGCGGCGAGCCCAGGGGGGAAGTGAGAAGGGGCGGGCCTCCTCAGAAGGCTCGTAAGTCCCCCGGCCTTCTGAGAAGTTTTCTAAGCCTTCCCCAGAGACACGGAAAACTTCTCAGAAGGCGCGAGGGGTTTATGAGCAGTCCCGCCGCCTTCTGAGAGGGCCTTCTCCTTCTCACTTCCCCCCTCGGTTGCAGCCGACCCTGGGAGCCCCAAGGACCGCGGCCAGCGGCAAGTGCTCTTGGCCACTCGGCCCCGGACGCCTGCCCAGGCTCGCCTCCTCTATTCCCCTCGTCTTCCCTCTTCATCACTGGTTAGCATCATTCTCGTACGCCTTTTCCTCATCATCCCCCCTGCGTAATATATCTCTGCTGCTCTTATTTCCACTTCGTCGCATCCCCAGGAGATCTTCCGCGCGCAGATCAGGAAGCTGAAGGGCCCCGGCGGGCCAGTCTGCCAGGACAAGGGCTTCGACGCGCCGCTCAACATCTTCCTCTTCCAGGACCCCCGCGCCCGCTCCTGCTCCTACCTCCTCCACCCTCCATGCCTCTCCTCCGGAACCCTCTCCTCCGCCTGGTCTCGTTCACTACCCGCCTTCCTCCTCGTTTTCCCGCCTGCTTGCCCATCCAGGCCCCCTCCTGCCTCCGACTACCCCCGCGGTGCGAGATCGCCCTCAGGGAGGCCGACCCGCGCACCACACGGCGTGTCCCGCCTGGGATAGGGCAGGGAAGCACGGTGTTCGGAGGAGGGAGAGGTGCCCATACCGCCACCAATCCCTCGTTTTCCCCCTCTTGGGCCTCCTGAGAGGCCCTCATCGCCACCGTTGGATCCGCCTCGAAATTTTGGTGAGAATGCAGGCTGGGAGAGGTTCGGGGAGTCGCAGTATGGGTACCTTCTGGTTTCCCCAGTTTTTTTGGAGGAGCAAGACGATCGTTTCCGTATTCCTTGTTGTGCCGATCGGCGCGGGCCCACGCAACCCCTCCCCCCCCCTCCCCTCCCATGGAGTAGAGATCTTGGCTATTTTTGGCGCCTGTTTCAAGCAGGCGGAGTCTCCCCCATAGGACGCACTGTTGCAAACATTCGCGCTAAGCGGAGGTTCGGGAGCCAGAACCTCCCCTCTCCCCCCTCCTTCCGCCCAATGTCGAAACGCCGAGTAAGAGAACGTTCACAAGAAGTCCTGCGAATGACACGCCCAGATCATTGGATGGAGATTAATTTTTCTCGGTCGCGATCGGTAGCGACCGATCGGCCTTCCCACCGAGTTTGAAGCAAGTCGGTCGCGACCGATGCCAGAATTGGAAGCCAAATTGGCAACGACCGATCTCGTGCGTCGTGGACAGAGAAAATGGCATCCAACAGTCAGGGCGTGCCTGGAATTCCGCGCCTTCCTGTTGCTCCGCACGGGCTCCAAAAAACGAGGGCGGCCAGATGCTCGGGGCTTCCTGGGACGCAGCCTGAGCCAGTCGTATCACGACGTCGTGCCCGTCCTGCGTGGGCTCATGCCGCACCGCCGCGGCGGCAGCGTGCGCTCGCAGGCGTGCAGGAGGGAAAGCAGCGGCACAGCGAAGATCGTCAGGTGTTGAGTGGTCCACGTGATTGCAGAAGCCTCAGTGGGTCTTTGAAGCGGCAGGGTGTTTTCGTTTGCCAGATGCGGTCACGCATATATGCAAGCATTATTAGAACAGAGCGAGAGAGAGAGAGAGAGAGTTGTTTCCTGTTCCGTTGACACTTCCTTTCCAGTTCCAACGCCGTTCGTTTTCAGGTTCGGAGTCCTGTTCCGATTCTGGCGCCGATGTTGTTCTGTTTCGGTGAGCCGGTGTTCCCCAGTCAGTGCTTGCACTGAAGGGGTCTTAGCGAATAGTGCCCGATCAGTGCTTGCATGGAAGGGGTCCTAGCGGGTGTTGAAAGATTTGGCGAAAGTTCCCGGCCGATTTCGGTGGGAGGCCGGGTTCCCGGGCTCCCGATTCTGGATTCCCGGTTTTGGGTTTGGGGCCGATTTCGTTCGTTGGGCGGCCGGGTTCTTGGGTTTCTGTGTTCCCAGGTGTTGGTCGATTTTTTGATCGATTTGTCTCACCATCGATCTCATTACCAACCTCTCTATCGATCTCATGATCGATGTCGCAATGTATCTCACGATAGATCTCACAATCGATCTCATTATAGATTGCACGAGCGATCTCACGATCGATCTCACTATCGATCTCACTGGATCGGCTTCACTATCGGTCTCACGACAGACCTTACTATCGCCCTCGCTATGGATGCCACTATCGATCTCATAATCGATCTCAATATCCACATCACTAGTTTTCAAACCATCCAGTAATCGGGGTGTTCCTCTGGTGTTCTTTTTCACAGTCCTCAGAGTCAGAAGCCAGAATTGTTCAAACTGTTACCTTGCCGTTTCCGAGGCCCACAAGCAGAAACCAGGGTCCATTTCGATTCGGCAAGAACTCGCCGAACCTAAGTTTCTTTTCGCATTCACGTCAGGACGTCCGCGAGGATGGAATGATTCACAGCCGTCGCTTGAGGAATCGATCTTCGGGGACCTGGGTAGGCAGTGGATATGGATACATGTTGGGCCCCCCTGGGGCCCGAACACCTCCATAGCCACCGCCCCCTTGGGTCGCAGGACTTCGGTTCCCCGGGCGGCGGCATGGATATGGCACAGGCGAGGCATCGTGCCGCACAGGTGGGGGGGGGGGGGGCGAGGCAGGAGTGGAGCGGTCTGGCAAAGAGGGTCGGTGGAACCTGTGCCCCAGCAGCACAGGCGGGAGGGGGCAGGAGCTGCAGCGGCTGCAGAACATCATCAAGATCGTCCGTGCCCCGAGGGGCCGGCCAAGCGCGACGGGCCCGCGCCGAGGCAGTTTGTTCGTTGGCGCTTCGCCCCACGACAGAAGAGAGCACGAGTAGGAGACCAACGGCCCGCGTGAAGAAGTTGGCTCAGAGAGGCCACTGGTTTCCTGAGGAGCAGGAGGACGACGACGAGGACGACGACGACCAGGACGACGACGACGACGACGACGAAAAGGGGGGAGCAGGAGGCAGAGGTGCAAGGACGAGGGAGTAGTACGGATCGGAACGCAGAAACGTAGATGATTCAGAAGAAGGGCGGATAATCAAGGACGAGGGGTGCGAGGAGCAACGAGGACAAGACAATACAAGAGCACTTGTGAGCCAATAGTTCGATGTCTTGCTGATTTGGACAGCCGCGTACAGCTAGAGACCATGGACGGATATGTGAGTTGGGTTCCGTGAGCGCTGCATGTAGCTCCTAGGAAGCGAAGGAGGAGGGAGAAGAGTGGAGGAGGATCGAGGAGGACAGAGGATGGGGTCGGAGGACGGGCGATGGCTGGCAGAGGAGGACCGGGGAGGTCGGCGACGACAAGCAAGGGGCGCAAAATGAGGAAGAGGTTGGAGGATGGAGGACAGAGGTCGGGGGAGAAAAAGATACGGATACGTGTTGTCCCCCTTCGTTTCCGGCCTTTCCTGGTCCTCCTGGGGTATCCTCGTTGTCACCGCTGGATTCGCCTCGAAATTCTGGTCAGAACGCACCCCAAGAGAGGTCCGGGGACAACACGTATCCGTATCTTTCCGTCCCCCAAAGAGGCGGAGGATGAGGAGGAGCAGGCGGTCAGGAGGGGAACCGAACACCCGTGCTGCGAGACGTCCTGCTCCTTCCATGGGATGGGCTGCTGATGCCACCTGCTTCCAGGATGCCCAGGGGGGAACCTGCTGCCCCGAGTCTGCCTCTGCGTCCGTTGGTGCCTCGACGGGGCAGTATGGCGCGGACTCCATGGGCCAGCCCTTCCTTGGGCCTCCAGGCGTTCTGCCCGGTTGCCTCCGGCAGGCCTCCTGGGGCACCGAGCAGGTTCTATATAGCGGACGAGGAACGCTGCAAGATCTGCTGTTTCCGCCATCGGGGGGGGGCTCCTGCCCCAGAGCGGCACGAGAGTTTCTACCCCGACGGCGGCGCGATCGCTCGTCGTTTTCGTAGTATTCCTTGTTGTGCCGATCGGCGCCGGCCCTCGCACCTGCCCCCCCCCCCGCCTCCCCTCCCATGGAGTAGAGATCCTGGCTGTTTGGGGCGCCTGTTTCAAGCAGGCGGGGGGTCTCCCCCCTAGGACGCACTGTTGCAAGCAGCCGCGTGCATCAGAGGTTCCGGAGCCAGAACCTCCCCCCTTCACCCCCCGCCTCCGCCCAATGTCGAAGCGCTGAATAGGAAAACGTTGACTTGGCTACTTTTCGTCCAGCCGCCCTGGGGCAGTCGCCCCCGACGTCTTAACAAACATTGTCTGCCGCTCTGGGAACAAAGGAGGTCTGAGTAGGCACGAAGGCCAGGCACAATCAGCATCGAAGACGCGCCATCCGCAATCATCTGGAAATCCATCGTCGTGAACTTACAGTGGAAACCCATACCAAAGAACACCTTACTTGTCTCCAGGGTGCCCTGGGTTTCTTGGGTTTCGATTGTTTTGCGATGGAGAGCGCGACTTGCCCACGCCAGAAATCAATGGACGTCCTGGGGTCTCAGGGTTGGGCGCCTTGTGGAAGATTTCTTGTGGTCGAGCTCCTACTGCAGGGTATTTTTGCTACAGCCGCTCTGGGGCAGGCGTCCCCGACGTCTGAACAAACATGGTCTACCGCTCTAAGAACAGAGGTGGTCTAAGTATAGGCACGAAGGCCAGGCACAAGCAGCATCGAAGACGCGCGGCATCCGCAATCACCCAGAAATCCGGCGTCGTGAGCTTATCACCACGTGGGCCCCCGAACCCCTCGACTTATGATGTTCCAACCTACTTTAGCCTTGATCACCATAACTAAGTTCGATCACCAAGGAAGTATCGAATCTGGACAGTTTGCACGTGTCGGGCCCTGGGAGGCGATACTCGTTCGGCACTTCGACAGCGTGTCGGGCAGACACTGTTTCGATACTTTCCAGGGTGCTCGAAATCATGTCTCGGATGTGGTTCCTGAGAGCAACATACCCTCGACCCCAACCTGCGAACCGAATTTCAGCCCAAGCACTTTCCGATGGCCTTTTGTGGGAGGAGCGGGCCTCCAGCAGGGGGCCCACAGCGAGGGAGGCCTGTTTCCATGAGGTCCTCTGGTGCGGGAGGTCGTGCCAGCGAGTCTCCCCTCCCAGCACTTGGTACCTGGAAGTGCCGTCGGCTGCGATCTCAGAGGGGGCTCCGGGCGCCTTCGTGGCGGTGCGCCCCCGGCTCCCTCATCTCCGATGGTCAGGGCCTGCACACGCAGAAGGCCAAACCACTGCATATAAACACAGACTTTCGGAGGCCCCCCCTGAGTTCTTGGACCGGCGCTGGCCCTCCAGGCGGCAGCTCCATCGCAGAAGAAAGAAGGCGCCACAGACAGAAACTTCTGGCGCTCCTCGCGGGTTTCTCGGATCCGCGTTGTGGCCCCCCTGGCGGCGCCTCCGGCGCCGCCCCTGGCGCGCTCCGCGCGCCAGGGAGGGGGGCCCAGCGCGGAGCCGAGAAATCCGCGCGGAGCGCCAGAAGTGTATGCTCATGCCGATTTTGTATTTATTCCAGCAGGAGGGGGTAAAGCGCCGCCGATCAAAGAAATCCGCGCGGACCTGCGAAGGTTGATGTTTATGCCGTGTTTTCCTCCAGCACTGCCGCCGCCTAGGGAGGGTGCCAGGCGGCGCAGGCTGCACTGGGAGGCAGCGGCCAGGGGCATCCTCAGGCCACCGGGGGGGGGAGCCAGGGATGTCCACGTCTTCACGTCCTTGGAGGCCGCGCACCCATCGGTCGCTGAAAGCAGGTATTTTTTCGAGTCCCAGATTCCAATCTACTTTCAGCAACTTCCTACTTCAATGATCGAGTGGCTTCACCTTTTCCGTCCTCCTTAGGGGGCGGACGGAACCCAATCTATTTTCAACGCCTTCCTACTTCATGTTTCTACCTACTTCCGACCGATGGGTAATGGGGGGGGGCGACAACTGGGTGGCAGCGAGGGCTGCCGAAAAGGGGCCCTAGAGGGGCCCTCTAGGGCCCCTGAAAGGGGCCCCTTAGGGCCCAGAAGGGGCCCGTTGCAGTCAACACGCATAGTAAGGATAGGCAACCGTCCCAAGGGTGCCCTTGCATACTTGCCTCCTCGGCTCATCCTTGGCCACTTTCGTTGGCCGCGCCCCGCTCGAAAAGCTTCGACGTGGCCATCCAAGGCCCCTGCATCCTTATCGCGCATCCTTACTATACGGGTTGCCTGCAGGGCCCGCAAAGGGCACCTTTCCACCCCATCCCCATTTAATTACCCCATTCACCGCCCCCCCACTAATTCGCACCCAACATCCACTACCTCTTTGGGCGCTGGGTCCCCCAGCGGAGGGCGTGATGTGGACTCCAGCCTCGAGCGCACGCCCTCCTGGAGTTTATAGCGCACCCGGCCGCAGCCCTGCCCCCCGGGGGCACGGCAGGCTTGAGGGGCGCCGCCCCCCCAAGGCCCGATGGCCCGCCTGGCCAAGACCGTGCGGATTCGCTGGCTGTCGGCAGCCTACAGCGGGGCCGCTGAAACAAGGAACGGTTCAGAAGCTCAGCTGCTTCGATACGCCCGTTTTGAAACGCAAGACGTACCGTGCTGTAAACGTGCGTGTCAATACGTTGCGTGCTAGGTCAACGTGGTGGCCCACGTTTTGGCGAACGTATCGCGTCAGACCTACGTTTCTAGTCTACATGCTGAGTTCCGTATCAATACGCTACGTTTTGCGTATTACGTACCGGGGCAGCCAAATTCATAAGGAACGAAGCCCTTTCTTGGCCCCAGAAGCGCCAGCATGCACGAGGAGGGCTAGAGGAACTACCGCAGAATGACCGAAGGAACATCGAGCCCCTCTCGTACCCAAGCTGGTTCTTCTTCCAGCGTCTTGATTGCATCGCCGATCTATCGGCGAAGCATCGACGATGCCACGTCGATGTTTTCCCCCCTTAAGCCAGCCCCCCCCAACGGTGGGGCCGTTCGTGAAGGAAGGCGCACAGGATGCTTCAGACCCTGGAGGATTCCTTATCTGATGAGGGCGGCGGTGGTGTCCATGGCCAAGCCTCAATTGGAGTACCACCTGCTTTCAGACCTCGGATTCCTTATCCAATGGTTCCGTGTCCACTGCCCCCACTGTGTCGTGGGCCTATCGCCGATCGATCAGCGATGTATCGACGAGTCCAGGTCGATGCTTTACCGCCCAGAGCAGGCCCCCCCCTCCCAGATCAGCCGCGACCAGCAGTTTTCGGTTACGGAATTCGGGCGCTCCAAATTTCGGTCGCGACCAGAGGGGGGTGAATCTCGGTGGAGAGACGGCGCTTCGGGGTCCAAGCGATGGTTTCGAGGCCGTCGACAGCACGCACGTGTTTTTCGAATTTGCGACTGGAGGCCAGATTTCGGTCGCGACCAGCTCGTCCAGAGCGTTACCGACAATTTTCGGTAGTGGGTGATTTGGGCTACGTGTTGTGTCGGGGAAACGCAAGACCCGAGTACGCTGGAACTCGGGTTTGCCGAAGCTTCTTGACGAGCGCGTCGTGACTTTTGACGGTCCAGTTTTCGTGGGATGTTTGCAGAGGGAGCTCTCGCCAAATTGCAGATTCGGTCTGGTCTGGTCATTTTCAGATGGCCCCCGTCAGGCCACTCCGTGCCCCCCGTACCCGAGTCTCACGCCTCCCCGATCCCAGACCCCCGACGGCATGCTCTGTTCATAGCGTTGAAAGGAGGTCTCGACCCCTTCCCCAGGACCAGTGTTTCATCCCGAGTCGTTTGTTTTTTTGACGGGCCAGAGGCAGGGTGAGGGCCCCCGGAGGCCCAACAGAGGGGGAATCGGGACTCCCGTCGCGATTTGTGCCGTGACTCGAAGGGGGGGGGGTCTGGGCTGGCTGCCCCCTCCCCAGGTTCGGGTACAGCCAGGACCCCGCAGAAGGGGACCCGGTCAGTAGTAGGGCCCCGGAGCCCCTAAATTGGCCTGAACCACTAAACCAGGTCTGCCGTAGCTGCTGTTTCTTTGGGGCGACGGCAGATCCGATCAGTGGAACGGGGCGGAAGGGGGGCGTCCCCCGGTACACATCACTAAACCAGGTCACACTAAACCCAGTTCGCCCAAAGACCTCGGGGTATGGTCTGCGCTCCCTGGTGACACCCCGCCCCGAGATCTCCCCCCCCCCGAAATCTCGAGGACCCTGCGCCTCGTTTTGGCCCTCCCGTCTTCAGGTCTGGGCGTCTGTTTTGCGCTGCCAACGCCCGACAGGTACGAACCTCAAGAGCATCGCCATGGCCATCGACGGCACCGTTGTCATGACGACCGACCTGCTGGAGGCCCGCGGGCGGTGAGCGGGGGCGGGGCACCGCCGGCCGGCCTCCAGGGCGGGGGGGGGGCCGAGGGGCGGCCGGCCTCCTCCCTCCTCCTCCTCCTCCTCCTCCTCCTCCTCCTCCTCCTCCTCCTCCTCCTCCTCCTCCTCCGTGCTTCTCCTGCTTGTCCTGCTCCTCCTGCCCCTCCTGCTCCTTTCTCCTGCTCCTGCTCCTCCTCCTCCTCCTCCTCCTCCTCCTCCTCCTCCTCCTCCTCCTCCTCCGCCTCCTCCTCCTCCCCCAGAGCGCCGACACATGTCGGGGGCTCGAGGGCCCTGCTGCCGAGGGCCCCTCGCACTCGGCGGGGACACTTCCGCACATGCTGCCCAGGTCCCTGCCCTCCGCGTGGATCATCACGCTTGGCCAGCTTACCTGCCGTAGCGCGTCCTCCTCCTCCTCCTCCTCCTCCTCCTCCTCCTCCTCCGCCTGTCAAGGCCTATGCCGAGCAGTGGAGGAGGATCTGGCGGCTCATCCAGGACATCGGGCAGGACCAGCTCCAGTTCCGCAAGGTCAAGGCTCATCAGGACATCACCCAGCTCGCCTACGGCTCGGTGGAGCGCCGCCTCGCGCTGGGCAACAAAGCCGCCGACTCCGAGGCCAAGATGGGAGCGGCCTGCCAGCCATGCAGCTCTCAGGTCGAGGCGGAGCGCTTCGCTTCACAGCAGGAGGCAGTGAGACGCATGGCGGGCTGGGTGGGCCAGGTGTGTGCGCTAGCCAACGGCGGCCCGAGGGACACCACGGGCAAGCAGCTGCTGACGAGGGCCCCGCGGCACGAGGAGCAGCACGGCATGGTGCGTGCCAAGCGCCGCTGTACGCAGCCACGAGGGCAGCCGAGGCCCGAGCCCAGAGGAGTCGACGCGATCCCGATCACGGCTCACGACGACCGCGATGGCGACACCAGCGGAGGCAAGTCGCCCCAGCGCGGGCCTGCGGTGCTGGCGGCGGCGGCGCTCGCGGCTGCAGGCTGGAGTACTGGCCTGGCGGGAGGCTCCGACGACGAGCCCGACGGCGAGGACCTGGCCCAGCGTGGTGGCGGAAGCGGCAGGGTCGCAGCAGACCATGCGCCGCCCCGCTGGGCCCAGCAGCTGGCGACGAGGCAGGCATGCGGCGGCGACCCCGACGGCATGGCGGACGGTGGCGGGTCACCGACACCAGAGGGCGGCTGGGCAGCGCTGGGCGCCCAGCAGAGCGGCCAGGACAGCGGCAGGCAGGCCGTCCACGGTGGTGAGGACAGCGACGACGCGCCGCTGGTGCAGCCGCCCAGGAGACAGGCGGCCCCCCGCAGGCAGCAGCTCTTCACGGCGAAGGGCGTGCTGGCTCGAGGCGGCGACAAGCGGCCCCGCGAGGCCGAGGCGCGGCAGGCAGCGCAGGAGGCGGGCAGCAGCCAGGCGGATGGCAGGACCGCCAGCCAGGACGGCGTCGGTCGCCGAGTGGCGGCGAGGATGCAGCGCGAGCGCGGGCCACAGCTCTTCATGCCCGACGACGTGGGCAGCGCGGAGGGTCAGCCGCTGCGGCACCGCGCGCAGTGGGTCGGCAGCACCAGCGCATTGCCGTTCGCATGCGACCGCTGCGGGGTGCGCTGCAGGGACCGCGCCCAGCTGGAAGCGGGGCTGTGCCGCGGGACGCCTGCCGCTGTGCTGGCGGCCGACGCGTCGCACCGCCTGATGACCATGGGCGACGTGGTGTTCTGCTGCTCCTGCGGGGCAAGGGCTGGAGGAGGTGCGGCCATCCTGCTGGCGGAGAAGTGCCTGGGGAAGGTCGCCAACAGCACGGCGGGCACAAGGCTGAACAGGATGAAGGCGGGGAAGCACCCGCTCACGGGCCGCCTCATCGGCGAGCCCGTCCCGCTGGTGGCGCGCGAGGAGGCGGCCCCAGCGGAGGCGGCGCTGACGACGGCGTGATGATCGAGGGCGGCGTGCCGCCCAGCTCGGGCGCTGCTGCGGCCGTTCGGCCAGCTGGACGGCGGCGGGTGGGCGCTGGGCGGCGCGCGGCCACAGGCGCAGCGCGGCGGCGGCCAGCGCCGTGCCGCGCGTGCACCGCGGGGGGCTGGCGGCTGCGGCCGTAGGCCCGAGCTCGCCCGCGCGGCGGCGGCGGACGGTGCCGTGCCGCGAGGGCGTGCCGCGCCCGCGGCGGGGCGGCGGGGGTCGTCGCGCCGCGCGGGCGCTCGGGCGGCGCGCCGAGACAGACGGCCCGCCGCGCAGGGTGTGCGCGCTCCTCCGCCTCCTTCTCCTCCTCCTCCTCCTCCGCCTCCTCCTCCTCCCCCAGAGCGCACGAGCTCCGGTCCGAGCAGCGGCGGGGCGCCCTGGGCTTGCCCAGAGGCCCACCGGAGGGTGTTCCGAGAGCCTCGCGCGGCCCCCGCGAGGTGCTCTCGGAGCACGTCTGTCAAGAGGAAAAGAAACACACAGACACAAGTAATCCTCGATTCCCCAGAAAATATGGGAAAATATGGGAAGTGGGGGAAGACAAAAACCCAGAAAACATTGGAAAATGTGGGAATCGTTTTATTTGTGTGCATTTATTTGTGTGTCCTGGGGCCCCTTCAGTCTGGCCGAGTGCGCACGAGCTCGCTCGAGCGCCGAGCACGCTCCACGACTCGCCAGGTGCCTGCTCTCAGACGTCCAGAGGAAGAAGAAGCACGTCTTCCTCCGTGGAGCGTATCGTGGATCCCCCGCGGCGCATCCGCGCCACTCGCGAGGAGTTGCTCTGCGAACAGTGGAGCGCGCTTGCGAGTAGCTGCTTCGCGAATAGTTACTTTGCGAAGCAGCGAATGGCTGCTTCGAGCAGTTACTACTCGCGAGCAGCTACTTAGGCGCCACTCGCGAGTCGTTCCTTTGCGAATGGCAGTTAACTTTGCGCTCCCCGAGTCGAGCAGCGGCGGGGGCGCCCTGGCTCGCCCAGAGGCCCACCGGAGAGTGTTCTGAGAGCCTCGGGTGGTCTCCACGAACTTCGGGGGTGGACACAACCCCCAACAGTGACACGTCGATTAGTGAATTGTCCGTTTTCGGTTTTCGAGAGGGCGCCGTGGCCGTTATTTTCCAGGCTTGCGCCAGCCAGGTTTGGGCCCGAAATCGTTTTCATTAAACCACGTTTTTTACTAAAGGGAGGTTTGTCCATCCCCGAGAACTGTTCTCAGAACATTTCTGGTTGAGAATGCTCCGTCGTCTTGCATCGGCTCCATGTTCCGAGAGCACTGCCCCGTTCTTAGAACACCTCTGTCGTTCTAAGAGCATCCCGCTGTATGCCTGGAGGAGTGCCATGACGGTCGGTTCCTGCTGAACTCTAGGCCTCCCGGATAGGGTCCGAGCACACGGGGTCGGAGGATCGTGCCGCATCGCCCATGCATCGCCAATGCGGCTCGATGCGGAGCCCGACTTTTGATGCTCTCCACGCCGAGGGCGGGGATGCATCGGCGACGCATCGGTGCGGTCGAGATGGGCATGGAAAGAAGGGGCACGAAGACAGGGAGCAGCCTCTGCCCATTTTGATCGGAGGTGGGCAGACCTCCTACCCTGACACGTCGATTAGCGAATTGGCCGCTTTCGGTTCGCGAGAGGGCGTCGCGGCCGTCAGTTTTGCGGGTCCAGGTCCGGCGGTTTCGGTCCCAAGTTTTTTTTCACTAAGGGGAGGTTTACTAAAGGGAGGTTTGTCCACCGCCGATTTGAATGGGATTTGTTGCCGGTGCCGCCGCGGGCGTGGCCCATCTGAGACAGAAGTCATGGGAGGAAAAGCCACCGCGCCGCGGATGACTGGGCTTTACTAAACGGGTTTGGGAGTTTATTAGGCGGCTTTGGGGCCGCGTCGCGGCGGGAGCTCCTTGGGCTCGCGGTTGGACGCAGCTCGCGACGGTGGCGAAGGTGGCGCTCCAGGGGGAGGAGGCAGGAGGAGGAGCAAGAAGAGGAGGACCAGCGTCGTCCTTGAGGGCCATCATTCTATGCTTGTCTCTTTGCCTTTCTTTTTCTGCACCCGTCCGCGGCCGAATTCGTTTATTGCCATGCCTAAGTCGGCGATGTTGTTTTGCACCAGGTCAGCACGCAATAGGTTAGCTCCTGATTTCCGAGCAACGGCAAAGAGGAGGACCAGTGTACCCGTCGGTCGTTGAAAGTAGGAACATTTGGGGGGCCCAGATCCCAATTTACTATAGGCGTGTTCTTCAAGAGTTGCGCGGTTTCCCCCCTTCCCTCCTCTTCAGGGGGCGGGCGGAAGCCCAAATCTACGTTCACCGCCTTCATGTTTCATGTGTTTGTCCCCACTTCTTTCGACCGACTTGTAAGCCCAAGACGCATCAACAAAGTCGCAATCCATCCTCCCTCCAAGTTCCCTCACTGGTCCATGCGAGGATTTAGTTGTTATTGCGGGAAGCCGGCCAAGAGAAGACAGCCGCTTGGGAATTCCCAGTCGTGCCAAAAAAACATTCTTGGGCTTTCAACGCCGCGGATCAGCATGACGGTTGCGTCCTGACAATCTTAGATATTGTCAGATTTGTTCCCCAGGGGGCTTCAACTCGCTGAATCACCGTAACGGTTGCGTCCTGACAATCCTAAACGGTGCCAGAACACCATTCTTGGCATTTCGACCATACGAATCGTCGAAACCGTTGTAAGCTTTGAAAACGAATGTGCGCGGCGCTACGGCGAGAGCCACATGTTGAAAAGGAACCACCCTCAATCTTTGAAACCACTGCCAGCTTGTAAGGCGAACGTGCGCGGCGCTAGCGCGAGAGACACAGTTTAAAAAGGAGCCACCCTCCATCCGTGAAGCTGTTGTTTTTTGTTGCTGGAGAAGGGGGGGAGGAGGGGCGGAGGGGAGAAAGGGGAGGAGAAGAGGGAGGAGGTGAGGGAGGGGGAGTGGGAGGGGGAAAAACAGCACTAGTTCGGGTCTCTCTCTCTCTCTCTCTCTCTCTCTCTCTCCCTCTTTCTCTTTCTGTCTCTCTTTTCTTGTTGTGTTGTCTCTCTCTCTCTCTCTCTCTCACTCTCCACCTGTTCCTTTGGGGCCTGTGTACTACAACTTGATGCCATCTGGGTGTGGGATCTGCTACATGTCAACTGGAGCCTTCTTGGAACCCAGTCGGAATCCCATGGGGATCGTCTGCATTATGTGGAACCTGATCCATTCGTATTGTAATCATGCTTGAACCTAGTTGAGATCCATTGCTTCTGTGATGGATTCGGCTCCTATTGGCGTCCCGTTGGGGCCATAAGTGAATCCAATTACGCTGCTCTGGATCTGTGTCTGCCCCATTCCTATTGGAAGCCTGTCGGAATCCGACTAGACTTTGGACTCTGGATCTGCGATCTGATCCATTCCTTTGTTGGAATCCGACTGATGGGGCCCGACGAAGGTACAATGCAACCATAATCCTATCTTGTCCTATTGGAATC